TGGGTGTTGCGAGGACGAGAAACCGTGAAACGAATTCTAAGAGAATGCGTAGTATGTCGTAGGCACCAGGCAAGACCGTTCAGTCCACAACCAACGCCAGATTTACCCAAAATCAGAGTCGATGACGCTCCACCATTCGCGAACACTGGATTAGATTTTTTGGATCCGTTGTATATTACCGAAAAGAACGCAACGAAAGGGACTTCATCCTCCAAGGTTTATGTCTGTTTATGTACATGTGCCGCAACTCGGGCAGTACACCTTGAATTGACTCGAGCTCTTAGTACTCAAGCATTCCTGCTGAGTTTTCAACGTTTCGTGAGCCGACGGGGTTTACCTTCTGTTTTGATATCCGACAACGCGACGACGTTCAAATCTGCGTCCAAGGACGTGGAACGGATTTGTAGATCCAAGGAAGTTCAGGACTTTCTCATAGGTCGAGGCGTGACATGGGAATATATCGTGGAAAGAGCCCCTTGGTGGGGTGGTTTTTGGGAACGACTCGTGAGAAGTGTTAAGATTGTTCTCAAGAAAATTCTGTGGCGAACGACTCTCGATTATGACGAACTGTTAACTGTGCTTATAGAAATTGAAGGAATAATCAACGCACGGCCAATAACTTACGTTTATGACGACGAAGAATCGGTTTCCTATGCGCTCTCACTGTCGCAATTAATTAACGGACGATGTATTTGTTCAAGACCAAACAGCCAGCATTACGAGATCGTTAGCACAAACGCATCTCGTTAACCAAAAGAGCCAGGCGTCACAAGAAGATCTTGTGTCAGTTTACAACGCGTTGGCGAAAGGAATATTTGAGGAATTTACGCGAGAATGCACAAGTGAACGGGAAACGTAAAAAAACGGAACAGCTTAAGGAAGGCGATATCATTATAGTTACAAAACGAACAGGAATTTCTGGCGACTCCGAAAGATTGAGGAACTCATATCAGGCGATGATGGAATGGTTCCTGCAGCCAAGGTCAGGGTTAGTAACGAGAACGGAAAATCGGACGTGTTAATAAGGTCTATTCAACATCTAGTGCCTCTCGAAGTTAGTCAAGATTCCAACGCAGACGAGATCGAACGGAACCAAAATGAGAAATTGACGGTTGTGAAAGATTCAAGAGAAAATCGCGGTCGACCTCGACGAGCAGCAGCGATTGCCAATGAACTTTTAAGAGGAGAACTCTTGAAGTGTAAGTTACTTTAATTAAAATTGTTGTATTAATTCGTTAATTAGTTCTGTTTACATTAAGTAACAAGCCCGGGGAGTGTAAAGAACTTTACTACGAGGCCTGCACGCAGGCGACGATCTGAACCTAAACTCGGGCCAATCACGTGACTGAACACATTATTTTTGAGAACGAACACCTTTCGATATGTTTTGTAAGTTTGTATATTTGTAAGTGTGTTTGTCAAAAAAATATATGGATTATGTAAACAAATTTCGGCTATAATTCATTACACCAGGCTTTAAGATGTATACAAGATAAACCTAGGTATATATTGTCAGGCTTTATTGTGGCTATCGTAGAACGGTCATTAGTTCTACGCTGTGAGTTCATAATAGTAACAATTATGTATCACTTCCTAATTAGTAACGCTTGATACTCTTTAGTCATCATGTGGAATGCCACTTATTTTAGACGTTGGTTTTTTTCTTTCGTCTATAAATGTAAGATGCTCCTGTTATAGTTTAGATTTCCGTCCAGATCGTGGGGTATCAAAAAGACTACCGCTCTTACTGTAGCGTTCGAGAAACTTACTCACAGATGCCTTCATCTGCTAAAATTTTGTTATGCGAGTCGCATTTTTTCCGACGAGAGGGACACGATACGTCTTCGGGAATACAATGATAGCTTTCCCATTGTATTGCTTCCCAACCTTCTGAAAATGTTTTAAAAATGCTGCCTTTTCGCCGTTTATAGTCTCGCAAAAATATTGTTGATTCTGATTATCTGATTTCCAAAATACAATATTTGCACTCGGCAAAGTCGTGTTGCCTTTGGGGTGCGCCCAGGGTAGGAGTGAGGACTATACCGGCATGCAACGCGGTCAGGCGCGGTTTTTTACATGTTATCGATTTCTCGCTCTGCGCCGTCATTGTTCGGTCGGCTTTCGCTGTGTTTACACCTCGAGGTTTCGAGAGATTCAGAAAAGATTTATAGAAAAAAAAATGGTAAAATGGTGAATTTTTGCACTTTGAATGGAAAGAAAGCTTCGTTTTGGGTGGATACGAGCTTCTGTGTGTTCTGAGGTGTGTTCACTGTGTGTCAAAACAGCCTTTAATCTTAATTTCGGAAGGATTACCGTGTGATGAATTCGAATGTCGTGAGGTTCATGTTTATAGTTCTACGGATAGTTCGAAGAATAGTCCTTTGTCCAGCTGTGGTTAACGGGATAAGAATTGATGAAATTGTTCGCTGATTGCGGTAGTCCTGCACTGGTACAAATTCACTCTAGTTGTGTTTTTAAGGTGAGATGATTTTTATATTAAATAAAAATAGAAATATAGAAATGCTCCTATGTTGTAATACAGCAGTATTAAACGTTTTTTTATTTCATATCATGTAGTTCTTCGACCCTAATGATCCACGGGAAGGAGGTATAAACGAAGAATATAACAATGTTATGCTGTTGGGAGTTTGACATTTCAACATTACCAACATCCCAAGCAATCCCACCATGTGACCCAGATAGTCAAGATGAGTTGGATGGTGTACTTCCACCAATAGAATTTCATCAGCCAACTGATTGTAGCTGTTTTAATTTACCAATAAATCCTGTTTGCCCTGACAGACATTCATACACACCGAATGATGGAGGAAGCGCCCAGTGGTAGCATTGTTGTAGAGAGTCAAATGGAGGAAATTCAGCACTATCACAACACTATATATAAATGTATTGACTACTGTGTGATGCATTGCAAGGATTTATACTAATCAACCAGTTATCTATGCTCAAATGATCGACCAGTTATCTATTATTTTACTCTGCCTAACGCTAGATTATTTAGATTATTTTACTGTCTAACACTAGACTATTTACTCATCAGGGAGAGAGTGCTGACACTCAAATACTCAATAGGTTAAAAAACATTGAAACAAAATGTTTAGCAGAAGCTGCAAAATTGTTTATTGGTGTCTGGTGTAATACTGACATTTCTTTTATTTGTAAGGATAGAGCTGGGGAACCTATAGCGGTAAAGTCTTGGTGTGATGGTACGTCATTTAGTATAGTTTATGGGCTCTTACCCAGTCTACCAGACCTATATAAACACTCGGACGCAGAATTTGAGTTATATATTTGCAATCAATCGTTTGGAGTTCAATTAATAGTTTGGAGTTTACATTTACTGTAATTTAATCGTTCTGGAGTTAACTGTTGGAGA